AAAAAAAAAAAAAAAAAAGTTACAATAGCGCTGAAAAAAGTGACTTATGCCCGTTTTTCACCGTTAGCATCCCCAGGGTCATGTGATCAGAATTCAGACACCTGGCAGCTGACTCGTATTTATGACAGTTGCCGTGCCCATTGGTCATGCGGTTTCCCTTTTGCGACCTTCTGACCACCAAAGTCGATGGGGAAGCCAGATTCCTTATCAACTGCCGTGATTCACTTAATAACTGTGATGAGAAAGGTCATAAAATGGGGCAAAACTCACTCAATGTCTCACTTAACAAGATAAAAAAACGGGCTCAGTTGTGGTCATAAGTCAAAGATACCTGTAATAATATCCATTCTAGACATCTATTGTAACAGACAGGCATGGAAAATGTAGTTAGGCACTTCTGAAACAATATTATGGGGAAATATAGACAGTCCTCGACTTAATGACCATAGTTGAGCCTAAAATTTCAGTTGCTAAGTGAGTTTTGCCCCATTTTATTACCTTTCCTACCACAATTGTTAAGTGAATCACCGCAGTTGTTAAGTCAGCCACACAGATGTTAAGTGAATCTGGCTTCCCCATTGACTTTGCTTGTCACAAAGTGGCAAAAAGGGATCACGTGAACCCCCAGGACACCACAACCGTCATAAATATGAGTCAGTTGCCAAGTGTCTGAATTTTGATCACATGACATGGGGATGCTGCAATGGTCATACCACTTTTTTCAGTGCTGAGAGCTATTGAATCCAGAGGTGCCCCCCTCCCCTTTTATTGAAGCATCCATGGCTATTGTAACATGCAGAAGAGATGCCAAATGAAAAAAGCTGTCCCAATTCTGCACATGCTCGCTAAAGACCGTCAGTGTGAAAAACTGTCTGAAGAAATTGCTGTCCCTTTAGGCAAGTCTCATTTTGATTCATTGCATTTCTGATGATTCCAGCCATTTTCATTGTAATCCAGCAGCACTGAATACTTCGTGACCTTTGTCTTAAAATGTGATTTATCCTCTCGGGCCTGTCTGGTTTAATTGCAAATCTTTTGTTACTGACTTGGTTTAATGGGCAGCATTTCGCAAATGGTTGAATGGTAATATGATTTTCTCGAAGGCAAATGAAATGTACGTAGATGAAGTGGCCTTTCTCCAGGGTCACATCCGTTTTAAAATATGTCTGTTTCTAAGTTTTAACGTTTATTCTCTAATAAGCAAGTAGACACTGCAGTATACAAATGGGGTTGAATCAATACTTGAGGATAAAAAAAATTATCGGATACATTTACTAAACCAAAATGTTGTCTACAGTGAAAAGAGGTTTGTTAAGTCCGTAGGTTACATTGTGGTTTTCTGTTTCTTGGTGTGTTTTGACCTTATTTTAGGAAAAACCATATAAATTGGAATTTCAGAAATAAGAACTGTCTTTAAGGGCTTTCAAGCTATGATGTTTTCTGATTAACTAACCAGGGTGAAATCCATAAGAGGAAGGAAAAAAAACTTGCGATAGACAATTACAGCAATAATATTATCTGCAAAATAAATCTAGTAACTTGGGGTGGAGGAGATGGGTGTCAACAATATAAAAGTAGCAAGCGTGACAACTTGATAAAAGTCCTGCTTTTTAATGTGCACTGTGGGACTTGGTGCTCACATCTTCTATTTTGAACTTGCTGATCCTTGTATCACAGCTCTTTCTAGAGCAGCGGTTCTCAACCTATGGGTCGCGACCCCATTTGGGGTCGATCGACCATTTCACGGGGGTCGCCAAGCAAGGCTGTCCGCCATTTTTTTGTCCGCCATTTTTTTCCCCTTTTCCGGCGGGTGCCTTACCTCCCTTGGGCTGGGCCAGCTGGTGGTCGGCCTGCTCCGTCTCTGCCGCTTGCCAGCTACGCCTCGGCCGGCGCAGGGGGCGGAACCACGCATG